TGAGTTTGGTTTGGGTTTTTATATGAATGCAAAGAAACAACATCTATAAATTTCTACAATACAACCCCACCACCACCACCTGCCAAGGGAGAACAAGAACACTGGATTAAAGGTAAGAAATGTCAACAGAATGCGGCATCCTGGCTCTTTTCACACACTGCCCTGGCCACCTAGAAATCTAAAAGTAAAGCTCCCTGGAGACACTGGAGGGGGGCCTGGTGGTGTCATGGATTAAGCATCAGGTTGCAGTCTGTACCCAGCAGCCACTGTGCGGAGGGAAGGTGAGCCAGCCAGCCGAGGTAAAGATGACTCCCTTAGAATCTCTGTGGAGGGAGCAGCTGTGCCCTGTCTGACAGGCTCGCGATGAGATGGAATTGACTCAGTAAGAGTAGGGTTGGGCTTTGAGGCATTGAACCTGCTGGTTCCCTAGCATTTTCTCAAAATCTTTCTATCGTGGGATATAAAATCATGAACCTTTCATGAGTCCCTGTGTGATAGTATTATCTGTCCCTCCTCCAGTGTACTCGGGCTACACCTCATATGAAGCTTCATTTCAACCGATGAACAAGGTGGACTTTGCTATCTGTGCCCCTGGGTTATTAGCCCCCACCAGATCATAAGCTCCTAGGGAACATGGGGTCTTGTTCAGAATCGGGGCTTCTTCAAGCAGATGGGTCTGCACCAGGGAAAGGTCTCCCCCTTCCCCCCCAGACACCCGCCCCTCCACGCCACAACCCTCCCCAGCATGCTCCCTCTTGGGGAAGAAGTGCCGCTGTTAGAAAGTTCTTCCATACATGGACTTCAGATCTCTTTCTGAAATTTTAAAATTTAGTCTCAGTCTTACCCCCTTGGTAACCTATAGAAGAGATCAAATGCCCCCTTCCCAGGACAACTTGTCAAATATTAGGATCTTCCTACTTTTCCTTCACTCTCCTGACCCAGTATTGTGTTCATTAAAAAAAAACACCATTGTAAAATAATCTTCCCCCATCACACATCAAGGTACCAGGTATGGGATGAAATGGCATATTTTCTAGCAGGTATTTTATTGGTTTGATAATATGCCTTTCACTCTCTGGTTTAAATTTTTTAAAAAGAAGAAAAAGAAAAAGGCAAGAAGGTAATAATAGTACAATAGCCAAGAAAGCAGAAATTCAGAATATAAATACTTTCTTCCACCACAACATTTCTTACTCCTTTGAGTCTCGATGCTTCCGGTATAAGTGGTTTCTTTGGCACTGTTGGGGTAAGGCTGGGCTAGGACAAGCTGCCAGGGCTTCCAGAGACAGTTCATCCTCAGGAGGAAGTTTCTTCTCACCCTCCAGGTCCCCTGGACTTCCGGGTCTGACTCAGAGCTTCGTAGGCAGCCTGAATCTCCAGGAAGTGCCTCTGAGCCTCCTTGGGCTGGTGGAGGTTGTGATCAGGATGCCAGGTCTTCACTAGTTCCTGGTAATTCCGTTGGATTTCTTCCTTTGTTGCTCCCTCAGAGAGGCCCAAAACCTTAGGGGAAACAGAAGCTTGCCGAATTAGAATTCCCTGAGTAACTCAGGTGCCTGGGCCTCCAAATTCCCCTGTTAAGCGGGATGATGACATCTCTAGAACTGGCCCAGAGCCTCAGACCCAAATCCCAGCCTTTTGAAACATGACAAGCTTTGGATCTCCTAGTCAAAGCCAGGATTTGCTTTTAATCCCAGCTGCCCCTTTTCCAACAGGAAACCTCGCCCCTGATGATCAAAATCTCCTCTGGAGAGAAAGGAGGGCATCTGTCCACCCAAAAGACCAGCACTGGACTGTTCACGCAGCTTTCTTCACAAAAGCCCCATGCCAGACACAACCCAAAGGGCCACCACTGAAAAACTCCAAAACTCAGGGCCATCGAGAGGATGCCAACTCATTGAGACCCTATAGGACAGTGGTTCTCCACCTTCCTAATGCTGCGACCCTTTCATGCAGTTCCTCATGTTGTGGTGACCCCCCCAACCCTAAAATTATAGCTATAGACAGAGGAGTATTGTCTCCATACCTAAGACCATAAGAAATATGTGTTTTCCAATGGTCTTAGGCGACCCCTGTGAAAGAGGTCATTTGGCCCCCAAAGGGGTCACGACCCACAGGTTGAGAACTGCTGCTATAGAACAAGGTGAGTTTCCAAGACTGTAACTGTTTACGGGAATAGAAAGCCTAATGTTTCTCCCGAAGAGGAGCAACTGGTGGTTTTGAACGGCAGACCTTGGGGTTAGCAGCCCAACGTGTAACCATCACACCACCAGGGCTCCTCCAGCAACGACAGAGTAGATTAACAAAGCACCGTACACCCATGCTTGTACCACAGGAGACGATACCGTCATGAAACCAATGTGCAATTGCATGTGACAGTAAAAATAAATCTCACAAACATAATGCTGAGTGAAGGAAGTCAGATACAGGTACTAGACGATTCCAGCTATCTGCTGTCCAAGAACGGGCAACAAGCATCTATGGTGATAGACTCCTTCTGCAGCTGGGAGTCAAGACTGGGAAGAGGCTCTGATTGGCCTCGGGGTCCCCAGGGGAGGACCTTGGTCTGAGTGGCGGTTACACAGATGCATACACAAAATTACGTGTCCTTCATAGTCACTGTTCCTCAATAAAGAGAAAATAGCATATATTTCCCCACTCACTGTTAGAGCTTCTGCACTTTCATACCTGTTACACACAGAAGCCCAACATAGCCAGGACATTGTTCCCAGACCAGGTGACGTGAGGACAGTACGTCCAAATAAGGGACATCATCGGCTGCAGGGGACCTTCTCCCATCCCCAGAGCCACCCCCGACAGAAATAAGAGGGAGAGAGCCTTCTTACCTGGTAAGCTAGCTGCCGCTTCTCATCCTGAAAACTCTGCACAAACTCATAGAGCTTCTCCCACTCCTGCAAGTAGCCGCTGCCTAGGCCACGCTCCCCGACCACCAGCCTCCAGCCCCGGTAAGGCAGGAGGAGGACTGACTCCATGAGGCGACCAAGAAGGGGGAAGAAGCTGAACCAGCCCAGAAAGGAGCCCAGGGTCTCCGCCACATAGCCGAGGGTGGCAGCTGTGTTGCAGAAGGCACTGTAGGCTAGCGGGCCTGTGAACACCAGATAAGCCAAGCCCAGCCGGTACAGCCGCACACTGAGCGTCTCTGGCCTGGTGGCAGCTTTGTAGCGGCGATGCTTCTGAGCTGTGATGCTGGCAGCCATGCTGATGGGTAGGATGGCAATGGGGCGGCCATAAAAGACAGGGGAAATAAGAAATGCTGTCACTAACGTGTTCTTCGTGTCTGAGGTCTGGTTGCCAACGGCAGCCACCAGCAGAACCCCTAAGCCAACTGCCAGTGGGAGGCCCACAATATAGAAGTTGGCCATGGAAGAAAGGCTAACCAGAGCCACAAGGCCAAAATAGATGCCCACTATTATCTGGGCAGCAAAGCGAAGGGGACTCACAGGGGGAGTCTGCTGATCTGGGGTCTGCCTCTGCCCCTGGGCTCTGTTGGCCTGGGCTACAAAGCTTGGGAGCAGCCAGAATTCCCAAAGCCAACCCAGCCCCCCACCTCCCAGAGTTAGCATCCATAGGAGGGCATGGCTGTCCCGCCCCAGGTACAGGTGATGGAGCCCAGCCGGGCCCCCTACAGCCCAGAGGGTATAGGTCACCAAGAGACCCTTGGCCATCCTCTAGGGTGGCGTTTCCCAAAGTGGATGATATCGTCCCCTGGAAGGTGCTAGAACAACTATTGGGGTGGGGGAGATTCCCACACTTGATCCTGCTGGATTATAGGCTACGTATGAATGCTTTTAATTGCCAGTGGGTGCTGGGTAATTGTTTTTCTGAAAAGTGGGCAGAAGGCCAGCTAAGTTTGGGAACCTATGGTCTAGGCCAAGAGTTTCAGAACACGGCCAGTGGCATCTGACATTGCTTGGAGTGTCGCAGTGTCAGGGTCCTCCATGAGCATCATGGCCCCAAAGCTGTCCTTTGACCCTAGGAGATGAAAGAGAATCAGTCACAGGAGTATCTGCAGACCCAACCCAGGAACCATTTCTCCTTCCAGTAATCCTTAAGTCCAGATCCTTAGTGGCCCTGAAGTGCTCGTTCTCCTACAGTCTTCAGTCAGCACCGCGGCTCTCAGCCTTCCTAACGCCGAGACCCTTTCGTCCAGTTCCTCATGTGGGGACCCCCAACCATAACATCATTTTTGTTGCTCCTTCATCACTGTCATTTTGCTACTGTTATGAATCGTAACGCAAACAGCTGACCTGCAGGATGTATTTTCATTGTTACAAATTGAACATCATTGAATCATAGTGATGAATCACAAAAACAAGATGTAATTAGAGATTGTGAAATATTTATTTCTAATTATAAAGAGATGAAATTTTGTCTTGAAACATGGTGTAGCATGGGTAACAGTCTTCCTGCCAGGTACTTGTATGTGGGCGTATCTACATGTGGGCGTATCTACATGTGCCTGGAGATGGACAGAGGAGCCGTGTCTCAGTTCCTAAGACCATTGGAAATATGTGCTTTCTGATGGTCTTAGGTGACCCCTGTGAAAAGGTCATTCGACCCCCAAGGGGTCAAGAGCCACAGGTTGAGAACCATGGGTCTAGCATCTCGATGTTGTTCTTTACAACAGTAGTGACTACATAAACAGGGGGCACTTTACATGCTTCCAGTTAAGTCACTAAGAACATAACCCTGCACACCCACAGACACACATGCAAGTACCAAGGTTTATTTAACACCTCCCTTCTGACCCTGACCCCAGAAGTGTCTTAACAGAGACAAAATGTCCTTCCCCAGTTCCTCTGCCCCTCCCACCTCACTCAAACCAGGGGCACCATTGGAGGTGTGGACCACACCAAGGTGACACTGTCAGAGGGGCGGGATCAAAACAACCGTCTATAACATTGCTGTGCAGTGTTTCAGCTGAAACTTACTGTTTTTTAATTTTTAAAATCTCTGTGGTTAGCAGTAGCCACAAAATCGATTTTCAGAAGGCCCACTCACAGGGGTCTATGCTAATTTACTTTCCGAACCTTCTCTGGAGGTCAGCCGTGTCATTATTGCTCAATTATGACCCTTCACATAGTTTGCACTGCACACGTTACCAGCGCGTGCTGTTAATTCCATTGCTGCCAGAGTCACGTCACGGATTTTATCAACTGTGCTGCTTTTTCAACTACAAAGGTGGCAGGCAGTGTTTTTGAAACAATACCCCTAACTTTTGAGGGGACAAAGAAGTAACTAAAGGAAAAGGGGGAATGGATATTTTAACCTTCTGCTTAGTTACGAATAATGTTGTGACTAATAACATTGCCATTCAATGTAGATGTTACAAAACCATTTTTGTAAAATGTCTTGGTTTTGGGGTTGTTTTTTTTTGCCATTAGTAGGCATACAAGCTAAGGAAGAACACCTGGGAGTAATTTACAACTATATTTAACCACGTCTTCAATGATTGAAACTGATAATGAACACTACTAAGAATTCCACACGGTTTGGTCTGGGTGGAGGTCCATTTGGGTGGAGGGGGGGACACCTAAACTGAGTGCTGCCAACCCAAGTAATGCCACTGACTGCCTGTGGCTGCCTGCAGACACCTGACCCAGGTTTTAGCTGCTTCCCCCGCCCTCCAGAGCAAGAAACTTTCCCACCAGCACAACTTGAAGTGAGTGAGGCCTAGATTCCGTTCTTTATACACTCGGTGCCGAATTTCCTCCACAGAAACAGTTCCGGAAATCTACAACGTGACCCTAGCACCCCACAATTCAACCACCCCCTTCCCAGGCAGCCTTGGAAAGTTTCCGGCGGGACCAATCCCCAGAACGCCCAATGAGATGCCAAAGCGTGTCTCTCCCCTGTACCTGGAGCAGTCTCGCAGGTCACCAACCTGTCCCCGCTAGCCCCGGATCAAGCGGCCCTACCTGGGTGCTCCGACTCCCAGGCCCTGTCAGCTCAGTCAATCCCTTTGACCAAAGTCAAAATGGCCCCTCTGAATTCCGCTCCCACTTCCATCTAAATGGACTTTGTCCTTCTCCGTCAGCTCGGTAAAAGTCACCGAGGCCAGACAGTCCCACCCCAAGGCCCTCCCCGCCCCTCCGGGAATCACCTTCCCGCCCCGGGTCCCTCCTGACCGCCCTCTCTGGTGAACTAGGTGGAAGGTTTTCCGCGCGCCTGCAGCTTCCTTCCACCCGCAGCTAGCAGCTGGCGCAGCGCCCCACCCCGCGGCCCAGCGCGCCTGCACCGCACCGCTACGCTCACCAGGTGGCACTGCCGCCTCCCGAAGGGCGGGGCCGACGGGTCCCCAGCCTCACCTTGGCGGGGACCTAAGCCAGCCTAGCGGTGGGCTGCCTGATGAAAGCTTGGAGGCACAGCAGGTAGTGCTAAAAAAGCAGACCCTCTCACTGTGGTGGAGCCGATTCCGAGGCTTTGACGGTGTGTGCAGAGCAGACAACCTCATCTTTCTCCCGCGGAGCAACTAAAGCGTTTGAACCCGTAGGCTTTTCAACGCCTCTAGGGTAGCACCACTTCCAAACACACAAAAAAACAAACTGTCTGCCATCCAGTGGATGCCGATTCACAGCGACCCTCTAGGACAGGGGAGAACTGCATCTGTGGGTTTCCGAGGTTGTAACTATTTACCGAAGTAGAAAGCCACGTCTGTCTCCCTCGGAGCGGCTGGTGGATTCGAACTGTTGACCTTGTGGTTAGTAACCCACTAGGCCTCCAGGCCTCCTAAAAAACCGCAAAAGTGGGTCTTTGTTCGGGCCAGTCCAGGTCCAGAGATGGGAAGGTGGCTCCTTCTGCCTATCTCAGGCTGGACGGTCCTTCCTGCACACTCGAGTTGCCCTTCTAGATGGCTTACTCCCAATTCCTCTAGTTAACGCAGACAGCCACAGACAGACTACAAGGAGGAACCCCGGCCGAGTGGCCCCTAATGCCTTCCTCCAGGCCTACTGGGGCACTGCACCCCAAACTCATCCAGGCCTGTACCTGAGATCTGAGGAGACTGCCCTGTGCAGCAGGCTGGGGGCTGAGGAGAGTAGGAGGAACGATAGCAGAAAAGGACTGGGGCGGGACGGTGGGCAGCACGCCACCTTAGGACTCAGGGGTCAGAGGATTGGCCTTCGTATCGCCTCGGTGCTTGTCTGGAGCTAGAATGCAAGATGCCTTCCTTTCAGTATCCTGGGCTCAGTTTTTTGTCCTGCTGCGCGACCTTGGCGAATCAGGCCGCTTCTTGAGTCTCAGTTTCCTCCTCTGCAAAGGAGTTACCAGGTCTCCAGACTCCACCTGGGGGAAGGAGAGGGTGGGCGAGCCTCCCTGTAGCTGTACCTCTGTTCCCTCCACACCCCCAGCCCACCCGAGGGAGCACATGGAGTCCCCCCTGGGCCCCTGACAGAGGGCGCACTGAGCGCTGGGGGAAGGGCAAGGCCCCGGCCGCTGAATAATGAATGAGACTTAATTGGGCCGGCACTGTGCGGCGGCGCGCTAAGCTCCGCAAACAACCAGGGCGGCGGCGGCGGGACAAA